CCCCAGCCCCATGGCGGCTGCAGGAAGGCGCCCGACTCCATCCCCATGCTCAGGGCTTTTACCTTCGAAGGCGGGGGCCAGGGGGGAGGCTGGGTCCCCAGGGCTGATCCGGCTGACGGTCAGGTCGCTCTCCACGCCGCCCTGCTTGTTCAGCATGCAGGTGTACACGGTTGAGCCTGGGGGAAGGAGACGGCACCGTTGTCCATCAGCCGGCACTGGCACAGAGCCCCGGCCCCGCAGAGGGAGGTGGGGACCAGGAAAATTTGTCCTCATCGTTACATCAGCTGCCACCGCCTGGGTATGCCCTGACTGACCCTGGGTGTCCCAGCACCAGGAGGGGGAGAGGAGCGATGCTTTTTCCCCTCGAGATCTGTGTGAGGAGCTGAAGCTGCATCCTTGGAAATGCCATAAGCTGCCTCCCAGCCCCGGAGAAGGAGGCAGCTTCTCCCCGTGCAAACTGCGGCTGGCGAGGGTTGTGCTTGATTTACTCCAGTACCCATCACATCTCCAGCTGTGAGCCACAGCTGGAGCCAGAGGGACAGACCCCCCCTCCCTCATCCCCCAGCTCAGAGCACATTTGCCCGGTGTAAATGAGAGCAGAACCCAGCCTCCGGTGAGGACAGGGAAAGCAGTGACTCTCACACGCTTCCCATACCCTCTGCAAAGGCAGCATTTAAAAGAAAAGCCAGCTTGGGTTCCCCCCAGATTTGTTTTGGTGTAAGATGTGATTTCCCAGGGCATCCTTCCAGGGCAGTGCTCAGCAGAGGGAGCGCGCAGCCGAAATAAGGGGACTGAGCCAGTACCTGGTGCTTTGCTCACGTCGGCAGTAAACAGCCAGTTTGCTGCTTTTGTTGCTTCAGGACCAACCAGGTAGAATTTCCCAAAATAAGACATGTCGAAGAGAGCCAGGGCATTTCTGCACGTTAAGCACTCATTCCTGATCTACAATTCAAGCAAACGCACCGCTGAAGTCGAGCTGTATTCTCACCCCACAGAGGGAGACACACATTAAAACCATTTCTGTAATGGGAAAACAACACCAGGACACTCGCCTGGTGCCCTTAAAGGCTGCACAGCTTCAACATGCCTGAAAAATCAGGTATTAAATGGAGCGGCCCGGCAGGCCAGCCTGCGTGCTCAGTCCCATTCCTTACCTCACGTTATCAACAGTAATAGTTAAATTTTAGCAGGCTGGGTTTTTCCCCCAAGCTAGTTTCAACTCTTTTATTTAGATTTAGACTGGATACTAGGAAAATTTTCTTCCCTGAATGGGCTGGCAAGCACTGGGATGGGCTGCGTAGGGAAGGGGTCGAGTCCCCATCCCTGGGGGGATTTAAAAGCCGGGCAGAGGAGGTGCTGAGGGCCAGGGTTTAGTGGTGGGATGGCAGGGTTAGGGGAACGGTTGGGCTGGGGGAGCTTAAAGGGCTTTTCCAACCTAAACGATTCCATGATTCTATGATTTAGGAAAGCAGCAGCAAAATTCCCATGGCCTCTCTGCCAAGGTTTCCGAGTATGGGCCATGCATTTCTCTTAATCTTTTTGGAACTTTTTCCCCGTTTTTGAGCAAAGTTTGCTTCTTCCCCTCCCTCTGAGCCTTCACCAACTCCACCCAAAGCAGCGGTGTGGATCGGACTCTGCTGTCCCTAACCTCCCCCCAGCTCCAGATGTGCCCAGCAGTTTCCCGGGGGGGGTGGGCGGAGGGGGGGCTGCCCCCCGACACTCACGATGTCATGG